GAGAGTCTGCTTATTTTGAAGCTAACCTTCACTGAAGGCTGTTCCACTATCCACTACCTGTGGCGGCGCCGTGTAGCCCACGGCTAAGCTAGTGGACAATCCGATTGGAGACGTCCAAGAGGGGATCAGCTCGAAACTTGACTCGACTCAGTCCGTCAGGATATGGAAATGGTTCTTGAACCTTAGGTCGCCGGTGCTGACGGAAGACGTGGATTGAAATGTCCAGGTCTTCTGCCACGGATCGTTACGCATGGAGAAGTATCATCCGGAACACCATCGAGGCGGGCTAGATCAGTTGTGATCGCAACCGTAACAAGTACAAATTACATGAGTATCCTTGCTGAACTTAAAGAAAAGTGTCTTTTAGTCGGCAGTAAAACCTGTTTTAATCATCACCTTTCATAGCCTCGGTTCATCTTCACTACCGCCACTGCCCTAATCTCAAACTGACTGCACATCCTTCTGGTGACGGCAGTATGCCATAAATTTGAGTGTAAAATAATTGAACTAGTCTGATTCGTATAAGAGACGATGAAAAGAGGGTAGTTGAATATCGTTACACACGCGGAGCCAGAATCCTTCACACACCCACCGTTTGGTTAGCCAATTTCGATTCTCTTTTAACGTCTTTCTACTTTCTTTTCTCTCCCTCTTCCGTCCGCCTTCCGACCAGCAACTGCGATTTGCAGCCATGTCCCTCTTGGCCAGCCTCCTCCCAGTTCAGTCGCATTTTGCCTCCCTGACGGTGCTTGATTCCTCCTCCTCTACTGATCTGAAGACATGCGAGGCACCCAACTTGACCGTAAGTGCTTCTGTCCCCTTCCCCCCCCCGCCCTCACCCCTCTTTTTGCTGCAACTTCTTTAACCGGTGATAGTGTAATGCGCAAGTGGTCAACCACACAGCTTCGGTTAGAAGTCCTTGTGGGGAACAGGAACTTTACTGAGACGAAAGAGAAAAAAGTAGTGTAGCAATAAGATGTGAGAAGAATGACGGACGTCAGACGAGAGGAGCGTCGGGAAAATAAGTTTACGCTGGGTCCAAACCGGAAGTGCGGTCGTCCTCCAATCAGGAATCGTCCTCGGCCCCGTCGTCCGGGATTGGCTCTTCGGTCTCTACAAGGGCAGTCAGCTTGGGGAGGGTGAGTACAGGAAGGGAATGTTAATTAGTAATGTATATTGCAATAGGCTGTTTCACTTAGACGAGATGGATCCACAATTTGGCGGACATCAAACTCAAAGAATGCATTTTGTACGGGGATGTTGCTGACAGGTGCAGAGGAAAAACCGGTATGCCAGTTAAATGAGTTATCTAACTGGCACGTCGTTGTCCGCGAAACTTTCCTTATGTGTTATGTTCGGGTTGGTGGAGGGCTGTGGGGATTTGGTACCTAGGAGTTACCATTTTCTGCCGAATAACTTATCTTGTTTATGTAATCTCTGTTAAATTCTACTGGACTGGATTTGAGAGCAGGGGCATCGCACATGAGTCGGTGAACTGGGTCACTCCGCTAATGCCGGTTTCGGTAACAAATTCGTCTGCATAGTCTTAGAAGATGACCATTTTGACTATACCATACTTTATAGAAGTCTTCTGTTTATTTCAGGCTTAGCGGCGCAGACATTGTGCTATTTTGGAGGCTCCAGAACGCATTTTATATTGCATAGCCTATTTTATACATTGAACCATTAAGGTAGACCAAATATTTTGCTACCTCGAGCCTTTTGCCACACAGAGAAGTGAAAACCACTTTCTGCATGTCAATCTGCTAACAAAATGCATCTTTTCTTCCATTTTACTGCTTCTTAAGTACTTTTATTACCCAGCTACTGATAAATATGCCCAAGGACTAGTAACTTTGTAAATATTCTCTCGAAAAATTGTTTACTTTGCCATAATCGACGGTCTTTCCACCGGAATTCCTCCGTCATTCGATTTTTCAGGTTTTACTACTTTTCATGGGGGGTACTGGGTATTTTTATCGCAGTGGACCTTCGATGATTCCGCAAATGATAGCTTTTTTTCCCCTGTGTGCCTTTCAGTCAATTCTCTCTCGGAAACTGTTTATCAGCGTGATGCAGGAGCGCA